GCCCCAAGTTTTGCCATTGCAAGTCAATTAACCTGGGGGGGGGGAGAGGAGGGTGGTTGTAGAGACACAATGGGCTATATTTATAAAGCTTTTGCCCAACATATAGCGGGGCAGATGCCATTCACATGGCACTAGAATTTCCTATACTCCTCAGTCACCTAGGGGAGCTAGTGCCATGCACACAGCATCTACCGAAGTTTTATGAATAAAGCCCAATGTCATCTTATTCAAGTAAAACCAAGTGTGGAGCAATGCAAAAACATGTGCTTGGCTCATGTCCATTTAAATGAAGGCCACAAAGTTTCCAGCCAGTACTGGCCAAACATAAGAAAAAAGCAAAAGAGCTGGAGGAGGGCTCATGCTTCACACGATGATACGTCTAAATGAACATACCACTGGATACCATCCAATTGACACAATAGCGAGGAAACACAGTCTGTGGGTTGTCACTATATGTCAACATATAATCAAAGCCATTCTAAAAGAAAGAAAAATACAAACAACCATTAGAAACATGACAACTGCCACTCAACACTTTATATCATCCCTCGCTTTCTAACAGTGCTATGGGTACTCTCTCCAAGGATTAACGCAGGCCTAGAAAACTCCCACAACCAAATAGCTAACTGGGAAATATATTCAGTGGGCTAATGGCATGACAAAGCTAGCAATTCTATACTAGGAGGTCTTGCTATGGAAATTCATATATTTAAATATATTTTTAGTCAAAATATTGATTATGGTTAGTAAAATAAACCGTGTTATGACATGTTTTGTAACAGTATACGGATCTAAAATAATGGAAATATATAGATTTTATTTATGAAGTTATAAAAGATATTACATATAAATGTATTTGATTGACTGACAGGGTTGTTATAACTCTAACTCATATTTAGGGCTCATTTACACAGGCAGAGAGGACACGGCAGCACGTGGCTACATGCCACCCTGAACGCGGACTGTCTGCTTCCAAATGCATACACCTGGACCTGTACTGGTCGGCGTGTAGCTGTGTGAATCTGCATCCCCCCAAAGTAATGTGCAGGCGGCTGCACACAATTACACGCCTGTCACTCCCGGGAGCAGGTCTCTGCATGCCGTACTTCCTGGTATGTAAGGGTGTTTACAGCTTCATAGCTGTGCATCTCTAGTGTGAGATCTAAGGCACTACTACCACTACTGCTTTTGATGCCACAACTGTGCTACTCGTTGTTCTCCTTGCTGGAGGATCCTACACGAGAAAGCAAAGTCCTGCCTTTACCAAGATGACCTCCTCCACAGACAAACAGTGCAAAACAAGGCATAGTAAGCCAGTAATATTAGCTGCAGGGGGATCACAGACAATACAGACATTTGCCCTCTGCCTTTTGGGCACAGTTCCAGAGTTCATTTTTTTAACCTGAAACCTCCAATAATAACATACTTTAGCCAGTCCTGGACTTACGGTATATTACACAAATGTCACCTAATTCATATAGTGTACCAGATACCAAAGCCATACCTCATCAAATGTTGTGTGAGGTCTGATGACCATCTGAGACTGGTAGTTCCTCACTCGTACATAGTCAGCAGCCTCTGGTACCTCCGGGTGCTCCACTGCTCTGCAAGACAAAAACAGGAAAGCTTAACCACCAGCAATAAAACAGCTCCCTAAATATCGACAATGAGTGCGGTTTGTGTTCCTAGAGGAAGATTCATTTGGGAATGAATAGCATAAAGTCAATCAGCCGTCACCTGCAGTCCAATATATACATCAACCAACCACACGGTTATCCTGCGATGGAAGGCAGAACAATTGCTGAGCTCCCTTTTGTCAGGAGCTGCTCTACATATTAGTGCAGGAATATACACTGAACTAAAAGTGAGTTCAACACGCCGACACATGATCACTCCAACCTACCCAAATGACTATATAGCATTCACAAGTAAAAGGAATTGTGGCAGAAAATTAGAGTAGACAACCTGCAAATAAACACCCATCACATTTCCAGGTTTGTTAAAAAACAGAACATGTATTACTAAGTTGTCTAAAATCTAAATTTTGCTTTCAAGATCCTCTTTTGCAACAGTTTCCTATCCTTAGCTAGGGGCGTTGCTTCTCTCTTTGTGGTTTCATGCTTCTAGTCTACCTTCAGAACAAGTGGCTGCACACAAAAAGATAGATGTATTTATTGGAGCAAAACCAAGCAACTCAAGCAGCATAAACACAGAGTAATAAAAAATATGTTATGTGAACCGAGTCATCACAAGAACAGGTAGTATGAAGTCTATATTACCGAGAGACCAACACCATGAGGTTATTCTCCTGGTCCACGTGATACTTCCTGACATACAAATAGTCCCGGGAGTACATAGGATACTGCAAGGAAAGGGAAAGAAAACATACAGTATGAGTAATAATACTATTAATCAAGGACTCAATAAATGAAGACAATGGGTCAAACTCGGCAATTTGGTTAGAGGTGGTGAAGGGATTTAATAAACCAGTTCCAATGCAAACACTTGATGAGGGATTAATTGAACTCCACGTATCCTTCAAGAAGATCTGTCTGCTTATAAAAAATGCAATGTGCACAGAGCACCTATTGGACCATGGTAAGAAATTCTCCCGAGTTTTAAAACCTGAAGCACCGGGCAGAAAGCAGTTGCAAAAAGAACATAATGGACATTTACCAAAAGACGACCTCTAAAAAGATTTTGGCCCCAAAGCTTAAAGAGACACTTTGCCCATTCAGTGACAGTACCTGTGTAAGCCACCAACCCACTGATCCTCCTCTGCTCCTCACTAGGCCCAAGCACAGCGTTGTGGAAGGAGGTAACGTGCTCCATCATACCCCCACACACCAGGTACACTGCACCAGCTGCAACAGAGGATGGAGAAGCCGGGGATCACTGGAGAGGAGAGTATCAGTGGGTTGGGATGGTTTTACACAGGCACTGTTACTTTATCCTGAATGGGCAAAGTGACAGAGCCTGCTAGTAGTATTTACCAGGAAATATATATTAAGGTTTAAATTAAAATGCATCAACTGCATTATTTATTAACTATAGGTATTTATATATCGCCGTCAATTTACACAGCGCTTTACATAGTGCACATTCACATTATGACTGACCAACACACCAGGACTTACAGGGAAATGAGTGACCCAGTGAATGACTTCTGATCCAGAGAATACATCTCTCTCAATCACTTCCAGTTTAATCACCAACGCATCCCATTTCTTGCGGTACTCTGTGTCTAACTGTGGACAAGATGGAGACAGGTCAGAGACAAAACAACATGCTACCTACAGCGCAATACACAGACGGAGGACACACGTACCTGCACATTAAAGAACTGACGAGGGGTCACATCGTTATACGAGCCAAATACTGTGGAGACAAAAAAAAGACACAATGAGCTACCAGATTTTACATGGGCTTCATCACCATAAAGTGGTTAATGGGAAAATAGGGCAACAGTGAAGGTGTCTAATCAACGAGTGGATTCATTTTTAAAATAAAGTATGACATCAAATATTGTTGCCTTCCTGATAGGGTTTTGTTTCTGCGTTGTATAATAAAGATCTCTTTATAAGGGCCGGTGCAGACCTGAGTGATCCGGGACACAAGCCCCGGGGCCGCACGAGCGATATTGCCGGACGGCCCTACTGATTTCAATGGGTTTAAATCTGCACGGAAATCGCAGAAAAAAAAAAAAAGGTACATGTACCTTTATTTGCGACTCACGATGCACGGCTGTTTTAGCCGCGATCGTGTTTGGTTTCACGGGGTGGAATGCTGTGTGGTCACGGATCGCCCAGGTGTGAACCTAGCCTCAAACATTCAGAACACTCCACAAATTCTTCCTCTGCATACCCACAGACCTGTTTACCAGTTTTGTTGGGGTAAAGCTGCACACACAGGTCTTTGGGTTGGAATCATCGCTTGAGTAGTGCCGTTAGGCACATCACAAGGTTTGTAATTACCCATCTGTGCCATTGTTCAATAACTAGCATTACTGAGTAGTCACCTAGAAGACCTCAGGCACTGAATGAAGGAGGTAAACACAGTCAAAGGGCTTGCTTTCATCTGAAGACACCCTTTCTCATCCAGCACAAATACGCATACGTACAGAAATGATGTTTGCACCACATGTTGGGTAATGCCATGCACACACCAGTGGGAGCAATAATCCCAGGGCCATTATTGATAGTCACCTCTAAACTAATGACCTGTAAAAGCTTTTGAAGCATCTCTAATATACAATTTTGAAGCATGACATGTTGGTATCTATTCACTTGGCACAACCTCAAGTATCATATTCTACCAATAAATTCAGTAATATATTGTGCTTATATGCACTAAAATTAACTGAAGTGTCTTTGTACTGAAATAAAAAACTGCCGCCATTTTATTCTCCAGGGTCTCTGCTTTCAGGAAATATATAATTCTGGGGGGTGTAAGTAATCTTCAGGCCTAAAATGTGCATTTTAACATGTTGATGGGGGGGGGTTGGACACCTAACAAAAGTCTCTGCTGTTTAAGTCTACCATTGCTGACCCTGAAAAACGAATAGACTGGATGTTTGGCTGACCCATTTGCTGTAATGTTTTCTGAACCACTGCTTTGTACTAGGCCAGGGATTCAAAATATTGGGAGAAACGCTATAAAAAGTTTGAAGGGGGAGTACTCTCCGCCCCCACCCCCACCACAATTTTAGACTTTATGAACATGGCAAACTGGAGATTCCTACCACAAGAACCTGCAGATTTTTGCAGAAGGAGTTCCAAGTGCGTCCGCTGTGCCCGTTTCAAGTTAATGACAGGGCAACAGCAGCCGTATCTGTCAGCGGCAGTCTGCATATAATTGTATATGGTACGCTTTCCTGCAGATCGGGAGAGATGGTTGTACCCAGGCACAAGCTCTCTGCATCCAGGGACAAACATCTCTCCCGTTCCGCAGGTAACTGTACAATGTATGATTACATGGGGACTGTCGCTTACAGATGCAGCTGTGGTCACCCTGTTATTACCTTGAGTGGGTACAGCGACTGCATCAGTGCAGAACTAGAAAAAGATGGTAACCGCATACATTTACAACCAGCCTTTGTAGCAGGGTGCACATGGGAAGGCTTACAACAATACAACAAATCCCCAGCACACCTGCAACAAAACAAATTACCCTGTCTTAAGGTGCCCACATCGTACGGGTAATGTGCGCCTTACTGTAATCCATGGTTGTTTCCCTTCTCTTTGCTGCTCTTCCTTTTAAATCATCATGTCTTCTCATGCTGGGCAGAACTTCTGTTTTGCAGCAGACTGCCTTGTCCCTGAAATGGATACATGGTGTCTGTGTGCAGGTTCACAACCTGAGCCAGCACTACAGGAAGAGGCACTCAGCTGCAAAGGGAAGTTCTCCCCCAGGATGAGAAGACATGAGGATTTAAAAAGGAAGAGCAGCAAAGAGAAGGGAAACAACCATGGATTACAGTAAGGCGCACATTACAGTATTGGTTTATGTTAAAAAATCTGAGGGTTTAATGTCACTAAGTCCTGCTGGTTTTATTGTGTCTCACAAGTTCTACCATACGCTAGAAGAGACTTCCAGATCCTACAGAGTAGACGGAGGATTACCTGATATTCTCTTTCAATAAGGCAGTGAAAAGTATAGCAATCCTTACCATACCGAAGGTGCTGCATTGAAAAGGAAAAAGGGACATGTATTTTCGGACCATGTTTCATGTCGCACTCATATTCCGAGTGTTCAGGCGTACTATAATGCATCACAACTTCCTCCCACGAATAGAGTTTAAAATAAAAAACAAGCACGGCTATGCGTTTTCAACAATGCATCACAGCCCATGTGCACAACACACATGCATGCGGACCTTAACGCGCATGCCCGCTGGCATGAGAGAGCACTTATTTCAGGGGTGGGCAAACTTCAGCCCTCCAGCTGTGGTGAAACTACAAATCCCATGATGCATCTGATTCCTGGAGTCAAACATGTGGCTGTGAGAATCTTGCAATGCCTCATGGGACTTGTAGTTCCACCACCGCTGAAGGGCCAGAGTTTGCCCATCCCTGCCCTACTCTGTGTCCCCCATTGCTGTACTCCACATCATCTATACATCATGGCATGCATTATCTGGAAAAGTCCATTAGGTCATCTCTCATGTGTTACAGCTGCCATAGGAACTCCCAAGGTCCCTCATGCTTTTGGAAGTCGTAGATATAGCGCCGATGAGGCACTTAGGTGTGGCTGAAAATGGCTAATAAGGTGGTGATAATAGGAAACAGAACACCGCCATCATTGTTGCGGCATCAACAGTACTAGTGTTGTAATGAATACCTATCTTACCAGTGGAGACAGTGCTAGGAATAAAGCATCTGTGTGCTGCTAGCTTGTAACTGTGGGTAGAATCTCCTATAGAGTGACAGAAGCTCATCGTTCAATCACATGGGATGTTTTTAGTTTCTAAGTAATAAAAATCTCAAATGATTATTCAAATCTGTAAATCTTCCCTCCACCAATCACAGAATGACTTGCATCCCGTTAAAACAATGCAGGATGTTTTCTGAATACAGGAGCCACACAACGAGTGACCTCCTATCATCTGTGTACTCCAGCCAGAAGTTTAAAGCTGGCAATACACCTATAGATTATCTGCAGATTTTCTAGGGTCAGATGGAAAAAGTGTAACAGATTCCTCCATCTACGCTAAACTGTGTGTATGGAGGAATCTTCCACTGGGCCAAGCTTCAGTATCATACTAGTCGGCCCGGCTGGCTCTCAAAATACATGAACAATCTGACTGAATGTTGGCATTGTTCAGGGATTTTGAGAAACTGAAGCGTGGCCCAGCGGGAGATTCCTCCATACACACAGTTTAGAGTAGATGGAGGAATCTGCGGCACTTCCTCCATCTGACCGTAGAAAATCTGCAGATAATCTATACAGTAGGTGTATGGCCAGCTTTAGTCTCAGCGCTGTACATTTGGCCTACTATACTGTACGGCAGGGGTAGACAACTCCGGTCCTCCAGCTGTGCTTTAACCACAAATCCCATGCTTCTGCCTCTGGAAGTCATGCCTGTAACTGTCACTCTTGTAATGCCTCAGGGACTTTTAGTTCTACAACAACTGGAGGGCCGGAGTTGCCCACCCTGTACCATTAGCGGTGATTTATTTTTGCAGTGCACATTTCTAAAAATAGTTTTTGGCTGGAGCTCAGCTTGAATGTTTTCCAGGATAATGTCTGGACTGCATAGATGAGAAGCTGACAAGCAAACTTTACCTCTGTACTGATACAGATGGGTCCCTCCTATAGGCCGCCGCCACAACCTGAAGTCTTTTTTATCCAGGACCAGTTCCCAGCCGTCATCCTCCTCACACTGTGAACTTTGATACTGAGATCTGTGGGCTGCAAACCGCACCTTCTCCATCTCCTCAGCGGGCCTGCAAAGGCAGAAAGACTTAAATAAATCTAAGCAGGAGAACCAGAGACATCCAATTCATCTGAGGCCGTCAATCTCCCCTGACCTTGGCTGAAGGGTGCGGCAAGATCATTCACCATCAGTACTATCCAAACATACTATATTTAGTCTATGACACAATCTCTGTTACATCATTTTAATTATTAGGCAATGAGGTGGCAGAGAGATTAGCACCACAAAGTTCAGAGTTCAGACAAAACTGAATCCATATCTGTATGGCATTTGTGTGTTCTCTCTGCCCTTCAACAGGTTGACTCAAGATGCCCTTTCCTTTCCACAACGATACAAGCATACTGGTGGCTTAAAGGAGAACTCCGGGAATTATCAACACTTACCCTTGCAGTTGGGCTATCCCCCCAAACTGCAAGGGTTAAAGGGTTTTTTGTTTTGCATATATCTACTGCTAGCGAGCAGTAGATATATGCAAAAAGTTTTTTTTAAAAACCACTTTAACAGCGGTTTAAACGTACCCCGTCTTCGCCACGCGCCTCCGCCCAAAAATCCGAAACTGCTCGGGCGGGCGCATGTGCAGTTCGGATTTTCGGCCGGGAGACACGCAAGGTAAGTCTATAGACAGCGTGCACCCACATGCAGACACCGTGGGATCGGAATTGCCAGCAAGGACAGAGTCGTCAGCGCTGGATCGGAGAGCCGCCGCACCGCTGGAGGGACAGATGAAAACATCAGGAAAGAAGATCGGATTAAGAGACATCATTTAAGGTAAGTGCTGACATTAACATTGGGGGGGGAGGGAAAAATGTTTTAGCGTTGCATGACGGAATAAACGTCAGTCAAAGTATCGCAGCGCTGAACACTGAAAAATGGCCTGGCCAGGAAGGGGGTCTAAACACCTGGTCTTGAAGTGGTTAATGTCACTTTAAGTGCTTGTTTTGTCAAGGGGATGCAAATAAAAGCAGATATACTCACCTGATCCTAAAAGGTGCCCATACACCTGACTAATATCGGCAAATTTTTGGATACAATCGCGTTTTTGTCTGATATTCGTAAGGTTGATGGGCGGTGTACAACCGCAAATACTGTACAATCGATCGACTTTTGGCTATCCAGCAGGTTACAAAACTTCAGTCACTCGTACGATTTTCACAAGGTTGGTGGTGTTCCCGTACGTCAAAATTCATACAATCGAAAATACGTGCGGTCGATTACCGCATTTCGTCCAGTTGCTTCCTTCTAATTACCGCTGATCCAACCTTGCGATAATCAGGGCAGGATGGGGCCGCCGTACGAAAGTCGCACGACGGTTCGATCATTGGACGAAAAGTGTCATCCGATGATCGCAAGGTGGATGGGCAGCTTAAAAGAGAACTATGGGGTCAGTGTTTTTCCCCATAGTTCTCCTGAGGGTCACAGGAGGACATATACTAACATTCTCCCGTGACCGAAAGCTCAGTATAGCAAAACAAATGACAAACGCACTCATCAATTCATTACCAGCTTTACAGCAAGGCGCACATGGAAGGGCTTCAAACAGTAAAAAATTTCCAGGCACACTCACCAGCCAGCATGTAAAAAAACCTGTCTAACCACTAAGGCTAAAAACAGAGGTTTGGATACACTTCGTCTGCAGAAAATGTGAAAGCCGCACAGCCGCCCCAAGGCACCTCTTATAGTGCGGTCCTATTTCTAAACTATGAGAGAGTCCATCTTGGAGCACATGGGGCAGAGGATTAAATTGGGTGCAGGTTTGTAAGGAGGAAGCCCAACCTCCCTTAAAGCCACAGGTACGCACAAGGGACCCCACACATCCCAACGGCAGCTGAGACCCCCCATGCATCACTGCACCAAATCAGTCAAGCAAAACAAATGACAAACGCACTCACATTTTCTGCAGAAGACGTGTATCCAAACCTCTGCTTTTAACCTTAGTGGTTTCGACAAGTTTTTTTTTTGCATGCTGGCTAGTGAGTGTGCTGGAAACTTTTTTCTGTTTTACTGTTTGAAGCCCTTATGGGGACCCCGAGGCCCCGAAAGCGCTTGCATTGAATGGCAATGTGCCATTAAAAATGGATAATTGATTTACTACTACGGTGTGCTGGTGACATTTTCTTCTTTTTACCCGACATGACCCCGTCTTTTATATTTTACCAAAAAATTGGGTAATAATAAATGTTTTATAATTTAATATAGGGGAAAGTTTTTTTTTTATTTATTTCGGTAATTTTTCCTTAATATAGTAAAAAATAAAAGCCCCAGTGGTGATTAAATACCACCAAAAGAAAGCTCTATCTGTCCCCAAAATATGGTCTAAAATTAATTTTAGTACAGCGTTGCATGACGGAATAAATGTCAAAGTACTGCAGCGCTGAATACTGAAAAATGGCCTTCAAGTGGTTAAACAGCTCGTACCTAAACTGTCCCTATGGTTTCTCTAAGAGCTCATGCACAGGGGCACAGATAATGGCCTATTGGTATGCAGCATAAAATACGCCTGTTTGTGCCACACCAAGGTGCACCAGTTGCTCCATTGTTCTGTTCATGGGAACGTATTGCATTCTGTCCAGATGGTGTACGGCGGTCATTTACACGCACATAAGCTCACATTCGCAAACGTACACCCATGCACTTGTAAACGCTGTTACTGGCATTTATGCACATACACCGCTTCCTGTCCACACATTCCAATGGACAGAAAAACACCAAGTCTCCCGGGTGCTGCAAATACAGGCGGATATCACGCTGTACACCAATAGGCCTGCATTTGCGCCCTTGTGCATGAATCCTATAATGATAAAATGGACACGCTGAGAAAAAGTCTGATGTAAGCGTTTTACCATTTTAAAGGGAAATTCCACCTTTTTGGGAAAAAAAATTATTAAAAGCACACTTCTTTGTACAAGGAAAAATAATGTGCATGTATTTATTGATTGATTTGCATCGGAGCCAGTAAAGCATTGCAGTCATGATCAGTGTGCCTTGGGTGCAATGTTCTGGTTCCTGCAGATTCTTCCTCCTGTCCTCGTCAACACACTTGCAATCCATTGAGAACTTCAGGTTCCTCTGCCATGGTTACTGATGAGGGTTGTAGTCCCTCCATTTGAAGATCCTGTCAAAGGATCTGCAAATGATAGACCTGGTTGTGTGGGCAGACAAGCGCCGAATTCAAACAGCAGCAGCCTATGGGGGAGGGAACCTCACAACTCAGGTAAGTGTGAGGTTGGGACTGTGATCTGACCATGTTTTATATCACATCCGGAATAGAAGCGCAACATGAAACATAGTCAGAAAGGTCAACTTAGCCTTTAATATGGGAAATAGAAGCTGCACTCCAGGCAGCGAATTAAAGCACCCCTTCTTAGCAAGGAGCGCTTCTCTTTGGTCAGCGCAGTCAGGTGACCGCGCTGACCAATAGGTGCTTGCAAAGCCCTGCCTCTACAAAGATGGCTGCCTTCATAGAGACATAATCCAGGATAAGGCATGGTAAGTCAGTAAATGTGGAAAAAAAAATTGGATTGTTTTACTTCTGGAGATACAGTAGCTCTAAATGTTTTACCCTTGAAAATGGGTCCGTCTTACCAGATCAATAACCGATATAAAAGCATAAGTGTCCTGACGAAGACCCTGGGGGAGGGGCGAAACGCATAGACGCCGTATATTCAATGTTCAAACTAACCCCAGACAAATGAGACATTGATGCAACGTCTTGACTCAGAGCACTTCTTACTTACCAAATCGATACAATTTGGACTCTCCTGTGTTCCCAACATTACGAACTCTCATACAAAGGATACATTTTTGGATTGTGTTTATTATCTTACCAAACGAAAGAACCCGAAGAGGACAGCTGTACACGGAGAAGATTGTGGCCTAGACATGTGAGTAAGACTATTTTTTTCAATTGAATACTACATATAGATCAGATAGTTTGGATCAAGTACCCCTATACGCTTGTAGGAGGAAAGGGAAGACTCACATTTTGTCTAGTACCCACACAAAGACTTTGGCTTATTGCACCGATTAACTTAATATGATTATCAATATCCCGTAAGGAAAAGCACCTTTTCGAATTATAACTCGGACCATTATCTACAAGACTTAACTATACGAGGATAACATAACCAATACATCTGTATACTAAGTGTCTAAAACTCTAGTGATATAAGGATACAAATGTTTCAGAATCAACGGGTGAAAGATATTTTGCCAAACAAATATACGCAAGTAGAACTAAGTGTCAAAATCCAAGCAGTTCACTTGAAATGTATGGGATAGTAAAACTACACAGGATTGTTATCCAATGATCTAAATATATTTTGCATGCGAACCTAGAAGTTGCCATAAGCCTTGACGCATGCGCTTTCATTTTTAGGGGCGTAGACTGTCCTACAAAAGATTACCGTATTCATAGTCAGTTCTGATCTTTTTGTATCCTGGTCTTGAAGTGGTTAAATTAACCCTTGGACTCCCTATACTCTATAGGTAGCCCGAACCTTTTTTTGTTTGACTTATACAGTAAATGTGGAAAGATCGGCTGCAGAGAGACCACAGGCAGTACTGGTGACTATGATTAAGCTCAGGCGAAGTCCCCCTTGATGTCTCCTGATATGCTGATCTGAGTTAATGAAGAAGTCGCATGTTTAAGTTTGGAGTATTGCTATCCATTCATTCATACAATACATGTGACCCGTCCATTGTCCTCTACTGGCCTTCGTTCCGCTTTAAAGTCTGACCGTAATTTAAAGGAGCAATCTGCACTGCCATTAAAGCGACACTAAACTCAGGAGTTAAATATTAAAAATACATTCAGTTACCTTAACTATTAACAATACTGTATCTTATTTGTGTATCACTCAGCTGTAGATCCTCCAATCATCTCTGAATTGGTGCTGACACTGTCCTTCCTTCTGGAGGGTGACTACTTTTGTTCCTCATGGTCCCTGTGTGTTGTAAAGTAGCCACCACTCCAAGCTCACTCCTGTGATGGACTACGATCTCAGTATTGAAAAATAGTGCTAGGTCTAACTTTCGGGGTAGGTCTTATTTTCGGGGAAACAGGGTAGTTAAAAAAAGGTATTTGAATGCTTTTCTCAGATTTAACTCCTGAGTTTACTGTCACTTTAATGGCAGACTGCTCCTTTAAGTTACTAGCAGACTTTAAAGAACGAAGGCCATGAGAGGACAATGGACGGGTCACATGTATTTTATGAATGAATGGATAGCAATACTCCAAACTTAAAAGGAGAACTATGAGGTGAGTGCTTTTCACTCACCTCATAGTTCTAGCCGACCTGTGACAATGAGACTGTCACAGTTCGGCTCAGTAGATCGGGAGGTGAGCGAACACATACCGGCGTTGGCTCACTTCTCGATCCTGTCACGGCTCTCCGCCGTGACAGGGGAGGTGCTGGATTCCCCCTTTCCCTGCTCCTCCAGCGCTGACTGGCGGAACTGACGGGGGAGGGGGCGGGTACAGCTGGCTCTGCCTCTAGATAGGCAGAGCCAGCTGTCACTCACGCAGCTGGGCGGATCCAGACAATTGTCGGGATCCGCTGCAGCGTGTCAGTATATAGTGAGCTGTAGCTCGCGGTATATTGAGCTTAGGGTAACGGGAGGACGCTAGTTTGTGTCCTCCCGTTACCCTTAGGAGAACTATGGGGAAAAGCCATAACCCCATAGTTCTCCTTTAAACATGCGGCTTCTTCATTAACTCAGATCAGCATATCAGGAGACATCTAGGGGGACTTCGTCTGAGCTTAATCATAGTCACCAGTACTGCCTGTGGATACATTGTTATTAATAGTTAAGGTCCTTGGATGTATTTGGAAGATTCCACTCCTGAGTTTAGTGTCACTGTAACTTACAAGTCTGCTCTTTTCCAGCGCTGTCAGATCGATCTTCGGTCCTCGGCTCTGTTCCCTGCCGCTGACACTTCCAAGTTCCCGGAGGTCCTCTTTGGCCATCGGGTGGCCACTGTTTGTCTCTGTCACTCCTCCGTATGTGCACAAGAGTTACATCCTCCGTGGCACCCGAACCATGAAGAAGCTGAATGTACACTGAGCGACGCATGCACTATACAGTGTCCAAAGAAAAACAAAATTGCTGGGGGAGATTGTACGTTTTTTTGGACAGAAGAGACTTTGCATTCCTCTGCTGCCAAAATTTCCAACCACCCGGAGAGCTTTTATTTTTTCATTTCCTCTTTAAGACATGCGGATAAAAGATGGTGAAAGCTTTGTGCAAATACTTTGTACCATTAGGGTTCATGCGCAACGTACTAAAATGTACGCAGGATTCTGCATTAAAAGCAGTCCATACTGCAACTCGACATCCGTCTGTCCGCCGAGATGTGTATATCGACAAAGCCTAGGGTGAAGCGCCCGGTATTGTGCAATTAACGCACAGTATCACACAACGCACCCAGCGTGTTACCATGTGCTAGGTGCATTGCGATTCATTTGAATGGCACCCCAATGCACCCACCAGCTGCCATGCTCTGCAACACACGGTACCAATGCATGCACTACTTTTTTCCACTGCACCGCGACACCGAGGAATGCAGTACTACATGTTGAAATGCACAATGGCTTGGAGGTGCATTGGGGTGCCATTCAAATAAATGCCAATGCAACACACCCAGCGCATGATAATGCATGCCAGATTCCAGTCTTTGCTTGATGCATATTCCATTGTAAGAAATGGAAAGGCACCAAAATGCAGCAGGATGCGTATTGACATCCAACCCAAGTCAAAAACACGCAATCCCCCCGGTAACACGTGTTCTAATGCGCTTCCTTTGTGTCAAAGGAGACCACAATCGCGGAAAATGCATAGATGTGAATCCTGCCTTAGTATTTTGACCTTTCAAAATGCAGTAAAGTGCAGGTTGACAAATTAAAAACAGCATGTTGACACACTTAAGCACGGATGCATGTTCTGTAATGTTTATTTGCGTTGTGGTGTGAATGAACCCTTGAGCTGGATTCCCACTGGCACAATGCAGCAACGTGCATTGCAGTGTCATTCAGTTTGACACTCCGATACATTGTGGTGGGCTGCAGAAAGTGTGCGTTAAAGCTGCGTTGCCTTATAGCTCATTCACATGGCCACAGAGGGCCGTACATGCGTGTGTTTATGCACCCTGCAGTCATAGGTGTTCTGTACAACTGCTGCCATTAGGCCTCGTTCACACCAAATGCAGTGCTTTGCGGCCGGATTCTGGCCAGAACGCACTGCCTGGCATTGCGGCCGGCTCACTATGTTGTGGGGCAGGAGGGGGGTGTGGCGGTCCATTGAAGGGAATGGCACCGTAGCCACGCCTTCCGGCCGCACAGGACAGCTAGGCACGTTATGCTTGCGGTCCGGTCCAAACAAAATGCTGCAAGCACTATTTTGATCGGACCGGACCGCAGTAATAATGTGCCTTGCAATTGGAGGGTGTGGCTACGATGCCATTCACTTCAATGGACCGCCACACCCCCCTCCTGCCCCACAACATAGTGAGCCGCCCGCAATGCGATGCAGTGCGTTCTGGCCAGAATCGGGCCGCAACGCACTGCATCTGGTGTGAACGAGGCCTAAAAGAATCAATGACAGACGCAGCGGCTGTACAGATCTTCATGCACATGTGAGCAATACATCTGTCCATTGGCGAACGGACAGACGCACAGGCCTCAAAGACAGACTGCATGCGTCCCTGTACAGATGTATTAGTCACATGTGCATGAAGATCCGCACAGCCCGAGTATCTGTCCACCTGTCACTGACCTTGTAAAGGCGGCACAGAACAGCTGTGATTCCCGGGTTCATAACCACACGCATGTATAGCACACGCATGTATAGCACTCTGAGATCATGTGAATGAGACCTCAGACAACACACGTGCTACAGCCCACCACAATGCTTTGTACCACCTCACCGGGCGTCGTGGTGCGCTGCGTTGCCAAAAATAGCATGTCATTTTCCTTAGGTGGATTGCCAGCCCCTTCATTTACCTTAAAGGAGAACTATGAGGAGAGTGAAAATCACTCACCTCATAGTTCGAGCTGACGTGTGACAATGAAACTGTCACAGGTCAGCTCAGTAAAATAGGAAGTGAGCGAACACATACCGTCGCTCGCTGACTTCTCGATCCTGTCTCTGCAGAGAGCCATGACTGTCACTCACGGCTCCCTGCAGGGATCCCCCCCCCCCTACGATCCTCCAGCGCGGACTGGCGGAACGGACAGGATGAGGGGGCGGTATACTGAGCTTAGGGTGACGGAAGGACGCTAGTTTGTGTCCTCCCGTTACCCTTAGGAGAACTATGGGGAAAAGCCGTGACCCCATAGTTCTCCTTTAACCATGCATATTATTGTGTGTGTGTGGGGGGGGGGGGGAACATGCACGTTCATGAATGCAATGCGCAGGAGCAGAAATATGTGATCCCAACCATAAATATGAGGAAGGGAACCATGACACGCTAGCTGTGCATGAATACAAATCCCATCATCCTCTGGTAGTCACGCATGTGGCTGTCAGTCTTGCAATGTCTCATGGAATTTGTAGTTCCACAACAGATGGAGTGTCATGGTAACCTGCCCCTAAATTTGCCCTGTCACGTGACCTGTGTGAAGGCTGCAAGCAATGCCCTCCGTGCTCTATACACATACATATGAAGGCATCCCTATACACACACAGGCCACGCTGGGCTCTGTAGTCCTCCTGCATCAGCAATGACTGCACACTGCTCACCTCAGGATCTCCTCCTCTCTCACCCGCTCTTCTTCCCACAGGAAGGCCCCTGTTAGCGCGGCCAGCAGTCTGCCCGTCCTCCCGGGCGTGTTCCTGTAGCGGGCACCCCGAATGAGCATCCTGCTCTCCCGCTGCTGGGCGCTCCCATGGTGGCCCACCGGGGGACGACAGGAGCGCAGCCACCCGGCAAAGACACCGCGCACCGCCCGCTGCCACATCTTGAGCCGCAGAAAGCAGTCTGCAGCACTCCTGCTACAGCGAGGCCCGAGCCACGCCCACCCCTGCCGGAGATTGGACGAGGGAGCCTCGGAGCGAGCGTGGATTGGCGGAGAGTCCTATCTGTCAGGAAACTACTTCCAGGCGTGCAGCTCGGCCCAGCTCAAGGGCAATCGAGATTGAGCGGATAACGTGACCTGGCCACGTGACTGCAGGACTGGACAATGCATGGCAGACACTGGCTGCTATATAAACATGACATTAGGGGGCACTGGTCAGTGCCATACATACACAGGGTGATATAAGATCGTGTTATGGGTGCTTGCATCCTGGTCAGTGCCATACACTGGGTGATATAAGATCAGAGTATGGGTGCTTGTAGCCTGGTCAGTGCCATACACTGGGTGATATAAGATCAGAGTATGGGTGCTTGTAGCCTGGTCAGTGCCATACACTGGGTGATATAAGATCAGAGTATGGGTGCTTGTAGCCTGGTCAGTGCCATACACTGGGTGATATAAGATCAGAGTATGGGTGCTTGTAGCCTGGTCAGTGCCATACACTGGGTGATATAAGATCAGAGTATGGGTGCTTGTAGCCTGGTCAGTGCCATACACTGGGTGATATAAGATCAGAGTATGGGTGCTTGTAGCCTGGTCAGTGCCATACACTGGGTGATATAAGATCAGAGTATGGGTGCTTGTAGCCTGGTCAGTGCCATACACTGGGTGATATAAGATCAGAGTATGGGTGCTTGTAGCCTGGTCAGTGCCATACACTGGGTGATATAAGATCAGAGTATGGGTGCTTGTAGCCTGGTCAGTGCCATACACTGGGTGATATAAGATCAGAGTATGGGTGCTTGTAGCCTGGTCAGTGCCATACACTGGGTGATATAAGATCAGAGTATGGGTGCTTGTAGCCTGGTCAGTGCCATACACTGGGTGATATAAGATCAGAGTATGGGTGCTTGTAGCCTGGTCAGTGCCATACACTGGGTGATATAAGATCAGAGTATGGGTGCTTGTAGCCTGGTCAGTGCCATACACTGGGTGATATAAGATCAGAGTATGGGTGCTTGTAGCCTGGTCAGTGCCATACACTGGGTGATATAAGATCAGAGTATGGGTGCTTGTAGCCTGGTCAGTGCCATACACTGGGTGATATAAGATCAGAGTATGGGTGCTTGTAGCCTGGTCAGTGCCATACACTGGGTGATATAAGATCAGAGTATGGGTGCTTGTAGCCTGGTCAGTGCCATACACTGGGTGATATAAGATCAGAGTATGGGTGCTTGTAGCCTGGTCAGTGCCATACACTGGGTGATATAAGATCAGAGTATGGGTGCTTGTAGCCTGGTCAGTGCCATACACTGGGTGATATAAGATCAGAGTATGGGTGCTTGTAGCCTGGTCAGTGCCATACACTGGGTGATATAAGATCAGAGTATGGGTGCTTGTAGCCTGGTCAGTGCCATACACTGGGTGATATAAGATCAGAGTATGGGTGCTTGTAGCCTGGTCAGTGCCATACACTGGGTGATATAAGATCAGAGTATGGGTGCTTGTAGCCTGGTCAGTGCCATACACTGGGTGATATAAGATCAGAGTATGGGTGCTTGTAGCCTGGTCAGTGCCATACACTGGGTGATATAAGATCAGAGTATGGGTGCTTGTAGCCTGGTCAGTGCCATACACTGGGTGATATAAGATCAGAGTATGGGTGCTTGTAGCCTGGTCAGTGCCATACACTGGGTGATATAAGATCAGAGTATGGGTGCTTGTAGCCTGGTCAGTGCCATACACTGGGTGATATAAGATCAGAGTATGGGTGCTTGTAGCCTGGTCAGTGCCATACACTGGGTGATATAAGATCAGAGTATGGGTGCTTGTAGCCTGGTCAGTGCCATACACTGGGTGATATAAGATCAGAGTATGGGTGCTTGTAGCCTGGTCAGGGACATACACTGGGTGATACTTGATATAAGATCAGGGTATGGGTGCTTGTATCCTGGTCAGTGACATACACTGGGTGATATAAGATCAGGGTATGGGTGCTTGTAGCCTGGTCAGTGCCATACACTGGGTGATATAAGATCAGGGTATGGGTGCTTGTAGCCTGGTCAGTGCCATACACTGGGTGATATAAGATCGGGGTATGGGTGCTTGTAGCCTGGTCAGTGCCATACACTGGGTGATATAAGATCAGGGTATGGGTGCTTGTATCCTGGTCAGTGCCATACATGGGTGATATTGGATGGTTACCATCAGCTTTTAGCTTGAATTATTTATTGCTGCCCATAGCAACCAATCAGAGTCTTTGTTTTATTGTCCAACAATGGAATATAAAAATGACAGCTGGAAGCAGTAAAAATGTTCATGTCAGCCTGCTTTTTTTATACATAATCCCCATTGTTATTTAACTGCTTGAGTCCCAAGGCCCTTTACTCTCTAAACTCCATTAAATTAGGTTTTGTAGTCTATCAGACAAATTATACTTTATGAGGAATTTTGTAAACTGGAGCAGAGAGAACCTAGAGCAACCAATCTGCTTCTATCTTGAGCTTGTTTAGTTAAGCATTGAAAATTAAAGATTGAAGCTGATTGGTTGCCATGGGCTGTGTGCCACTTCTGGGCCAGCAGGCCCCACTCACTAAAGACTGCCTGCAGAAAACTCCTAGAGGGGGCAGAGACAAGACCAGTCACCCTGCACAAGGAGAGAGAACAGCAGTGACCGGTCTTTATTACAGAAGCAGGCGGAGACAAGACCAGTCACCCTGCACAGCAAGAGAGAGCAGTAGTGACTGGTCTTTATTACAGAAGGAGGCGGAGACAAGACCAGTCACCCTGCACAATAAGAGAGAGCAGCAGTGACCGGTCTTTATTACAGGAAGCTCCACACTGGATTACTGCACAGATCTGGAGGAAACACCCAAAGCTCACCAAGATTCAAGGAGGAAACCGCATGATTCTTGTACATAGACAATATTTACTGATCCGAGAGTTCACCTTTCATTTACCTGTCTCAATTTTACCCTTGTCCCCGGTGCTGTGCTTTAAGGGCCCATTCACACCAATTCCAGTGCATTCCAGCACAGTTAGCTGCTAAACCGCGCTGGATTGCGTACTGTAAGCCTCCCTGTGCTGCATTCAAGTCAATGGCACCGCAGCCACGCCCACCCCCCTGCCCGCAACCGAACACATGGCACAGCAATGCCCGCATTCTGGTCCGGTGTGATCGCAAAAAATAATGCATGCACTAAAAAAACAAAACAAAGATCCAGCGCTGTATTACAATGATAAGGAAGTCACAATGTTTTAAATGCTGATTAAATCACTTACAATGGACGCTGCTTTTTGATGTGTCAAAGTTTTAGTTGTACCTGCAGAATCAGTTGGTCGTCTGATCTCTGGCCCTGATATCCTGTTTTAGGGTGGCTCATTTCCCTTGCAGGGTCCTATGGAGCCACCCTTGTGTGTGCTAGTACGCTGTGTGTCTCCACAAATACACAGGCTCAGCAAGGCAAGTCACTCCCCTCCTTGTCCAAGCTAGTAGATGGATGACTACTGGAGACTGCTCTGTCCCTTGTGATCATGTACTGGACAGGAAGTTCAGGAGAGCCGAGCTGAGAGAGTTGGAGCTTTTTAGATACATGATGACTGTAAGTGTTTGGGCAAAATTGTGAAGAAATACTTTGCAGGGCCATGTGTATTTTCTTGATCTGGATTAATGCATGAAAAAAAAAGTTTGACAGTTTAATGTGACTTTAAAGACAGCGAGGATTATTAACCACTTGCTGACCGCGGTGTTACACCCCCTTCCTGGCCAGGCCATTTTTCAGTATTCAGCGCTGCGGTACTTTGACTAACATTTATTCCGTCATGCAATGCTGTACTGAAATTAATTCATAGTAGATTTGACCCCCGCTTTAGCCCTTGGACAAGTAGTTTTTTCAAAAATTTCCACACCCCTGTTTACTATATAAGAAAAAGAAAAAAAAACAAATTTTCCCTTTATTATGTTAGGAAACAATTATTACCAAATTTTTGGTAAAATATAAAATACCCCAAATTGACCATAGGCGACGCTTTAAAAGCTTTTACCGCTCATCAGTTTAGTGTTATCAGTATTTGACGGCCCTAACATGATTGCTCTCACTGCAATGTTCGGAGTGATATGTAACATGTGCGGCGCAATTGGGCATTTTCACATGTTGGCGCACCCGACGCATGTTTTTGTTTGTATGGGGGGGGGGACTGTAAACATTTTTATTGTGATATTTAATTCTTTTTATATGTGACACATTTATTTTAAACTTTTTTTTTTTACACTTAAATTTATTGCTATTACATAGGGGGATAAGAATCCCCCTACGTGATGGCAAATTTATGAAGACATTAGGGGTCTTTAAGACCCCTAATGTCACCTAGGGACCCCCAACAAAGCTGATGAAGTGGAGATCTGCTTCACCAGCTTCTCTCCGTCTTCTGTAGCCAGAGAAATGACTACTGAATGCGGAAGTGATGTAATACACATCAGGTCCACATTCAGACACCTGAGGAAGATCAGTGGGAGATGGTGTGCTGAATCCCCTCCAATCACAGAGCCGTCGTGCCAGTGTTCTGTCAAAATCTCCAACTGGTGATGTCAGGTCCAGTGACTTGCCAGTAGGAGATTTAGATCAGATGGCGCCGGTGCGTGTGCGCCAGCCGTGCCGCTGTCAGAATCCTCAGTGAGCTATCGAACACACCGTCACTGGTCCTGCATGGCTTCACAATCCCCACCAAGTTCTCCAACTCCCGTCAGTAAGCCTGCGCAGTCACCAAACCACACTGCTTTTCGGTGCGTCGCAGAACTTAATGGGGATTGTAAAGGCGCGCAGACGCAGTGATGGGAGCTCAATGAGGATTCCAACACTGGCACCGCCGGTGCATTTGCCCCATCTGGTCTAAATCTGCTACTGGTGAGTCCCCGGATGTGACGTTACCAGTCAGAGATCTCGACGGGTCAGAGTTTTCGACAGAACACAGGTCCTTGACCCACATGGAGTCCAGG